GTGTGATAAATGAAAACAAAATAAAAAATCGGCTACCTCAACAAAATGCTGAAAAATTTAATCGTAAGCAGCAAAAAGAAATCATTGAATAATTACAAATACAACTTGTCATCATACATCTTATGAATGATGCAATATCTAATAACCATTTCTCAATCCATCAACTGAACAATCACGTTCAATGAATCAGTTGTTACATTTCTTTCTACAGCCTGATAACAAAATGAAAAAAAGGTGCATCCGAAATCGTACCAGTGGAAACGATACAATTTCCAGTGAAAATGAACTTTTACGAAGAAACTGTCCCATCTATGAAGAAGTACTCCACTCCGACGAATAAGAGAACAAATCTGTCACTAACTCTTCAAAATTCTTCCACTTGAAGAGAAATAATAATTTAAGAAGAAAACGAATGAACAAGCAATAACATGAAATGAGGCAGAAGGCAGGAGTGATGACGACATTAATGAACATAAGCAACAACAACAACTAACAACACTGGAAAATGGTCCAGTTAGTCAGGGGGGAAGTGGGCACATTTCACTGTCAACATAACAAATTCCTCTAATTAATTCATAAATGTAAAGCAGCACATAGGGTAAGGAGGTCATAACTACCTGAGGTATGCGAGCAAAGAAGGCAATACTTCTATCCAGGAAAAAGAAAACTTCGAAATTCCCTCAAAAACATGCTCAAATATTTATTTTTCGATGCAATCAACGAATACTTTCACGATAATAACTTTGTANCCTCAAAAACATGCTCAAATATTTATTTTTCGATGCAATCAACGAATACTTTCACGATAATAACTTTGTAAAACGATCACAAACCAGACCATAAACCATCCGTAAAATTAAATAATAAATTAAAATTGAATTGATCTAATCGAAACTATCTAAGCGAGAGACAGTGCACGAGATCACATGTCTTTGAAATACGATGCATATTCAAACCACTGCAATACATCACACTGTTCCAGAATGTACACATATATATTCATTATGAAATGAATATTCATTCAATTAATTTAATTGATGAATCGACATTAGTGGTCCTTTCTTATAATCGTTATTATCATTATTAGTGTCACTATCGCTATTGCTATCGAACAAATTATTTGTGGCTATAATGGTTACTTCATCACCGAGCACCTGCCGTATTCCATGTACCTAACATATTCCCGGATATATCCTGCACTCCTGACGTAACCTTCGATGATAACTCTGAATACTGACCAATCACCCATTCAATTCCTTTCCTACCCTACAACACGAACATCATCAATTCACTATTATTATCAACAATATAATTAGAACGATCAACTACTGCATTATCTTTTCAATAAAAATAACACTTATTGCTTGAATCGACTTTCTCAAATGGAAATCCCACATTAAATCCATTTGCAAAAAATGAAGCAAAAACATAAATTTTGTAAAAAAATTGACGATACATCATTACGATGTTGATCTTATTTACAATCCGTGTCAACAAGAGATGATTAATGTGCCAGATCAAAATGATGAGATCATGATGAAACAATAACGAAAAGCCAGTAAGTAACCTTATCAGCGTTGCATTCATAAACGTTCAGGAATGTCTTCTCGCAGTAATCTGTGAATGCTGGTAAACTAACGGTTACAGCTGCTTCTTGACGTAAAATCGTTCTGAAATTATTGAGACCCTTATCACTTCTATCATTATGAATCATTCTCGTTAGAACACAGCTTTTCTCGCTTTCTCTTCACTGCCATATAAATCTTTTCATAATGATAAGCTGGATGCAGCCAACTAAACAACGACCAACTGTAACAGCCAACTGAAGCCACACTCCTAAGTGAATCAGAACCAATAAAAACTAGAATTGCCACACAGTTGCTTACCTTTGCGAATTTTCAGGATCTGGAGCGTACGTCAATTTCTCGTCTACTTTCAAGAAACTTGATCCATTCAACTGAATTTTATTGTTTACATTACTAAAAAGTCAAACTGAATAATCAGTCGAATTCAATTCAGTGGAGATATTGAAAAAAAATTGAATAAAAGAACAGTCGATTTCGAGTTCAAATGAATGAATAAAATAAACAGTCAAATGAAATAAAAATAAAATGAAACTTTTAAAAAATGAATGAATAATTTGAAACAAAATTACATTTCTCGTCGTCAATGTCAACGTTTGTTTAGCTGGATCTACCTCAGATATCTCGTAAGAATATTGCGTACCCGAAAATCCAGTTAACTGAAAAATATAGAGGATAAGCCATAGCAAATATGGAGGATAGGCAATAACATTGCCATCAATTATAAATTAAATCCGACACTGTTCACATCGCATAACCAGAAAGTTCATTTTTAATACAAGTTGACGACGCAAAATGAAAATTATTCATAGAAAAACAATGGCTGTTACACGTCTCAGAATAAGATTTAGGTTAAAGATTAAACTTAAACTTAGGTCCAGGCTAAGAGTCGTAATCGAAAATCAGCTTAGACTCAAGGCTACAATCAATCCCAGGCTCAGCCAGCGGACTTAAAGCAACCTACAAACTAAGATGAAAATATCAAGCTTCATCTGAAGCGGAAAATTTGAAAAAAAAGGCGTCAAGTGCTATAATTTTCAGAGAAAAGTTACGAATTTCAAAACAAAAAGATACCTTGGCAGCCCACGAAGGTATAGAGAAACGACTCTGGATGATTCTTTCAGATCGTATCGAGTGGTTATCGCGTACTTCTTGTTTCAGCACATCTATACCTGTCACTGCACGATTCATCGGATTCGGATACTTTCGCCATGCTGCACTCACTACCGTGTTCCACGGATGACTGAAAAATAACCTCATCAAACGACTCGCCTCCGTGAATTTTTAAAAGCTGCAGAATTGGTTTGTTTCCATCTCATAGCCGTCCTATGAAAAATATGGCAAATGCTAGACAGGTGACGCTTTGAGTCTAGTCGTAAGCTGAAAAACAGTACATGTGAGACCGGTATAGATGATGGTACATGATTCTGAACTGCAGCTTACTGTCATGCTTGAAATCAAACTGAACCATACTTCTAGGTTCATGTTTTGATATTGCTTGAAATCAAACTAAACCATACTTCTAGGTTCATGTTTTCAGTGTAACTCAAGTTTTTCGGTTCATGTTGGGGTGTACTTGCATGCTGAAAATTCACCACGCACGCAATCTCTCCTCTCAAATCAATCAAATGCTCATAACAGGCAAATTCTAGAATTCTGTAATGCTATTTAACCATAATGCTGCTGCCTGTATGATTTTTTTTTTTGAATACAGCAAACTAATTTCATCTCCAACACAACACTTTCTCCCGAAATTGCATTGATACCGAATTATGCTCTCGGCCCATTCTCTAATTACGTTCTAGGCTCTACGTGCCTATGCTTGACTCCCAATAATATCATTTAGGTGGTTGTTGAACAAAAACAGTTCAACATAGCCACTTATCTTCGCGTAAGACAATGTTAATCAACATGCTCTGTTGACAGCATCGTCACGTGTTAACATGCCCAACATAATTTAACAATTTCGAATTTGAACTTAACATGTGCGAGAGCAGAACCTGCTACCTTCTTAACTTTGACGATGAAAACCGATCAGANAGAGTGTTTCGCCTATCGTTACGAGATCAGCCTTTAGAGTTGGAATACTTCGAAAACGCCGATCTCATTCATTCCTCCTTTCACTCAAACTCGTTTTCGCCTTTTGTTAAATGCACCCAAAGTACATCGCATCGAAATTACAATGGCAATGATCGCGTGCAACATATTTCAAACGTTTACGAAAGATAACAATTTGGTACGACTAAAAGGAAGAAATGTGAACGTTGAAGAGAACCACTCTAAGAAAAAAGGGTATGGAAGAAATGAAAAGATATGGGAAGAATGCTGAAATGTCAATTTAAAGCCGAAAAATGTGCTTCACTTTACCATTCATAATGACTCTTACTTATAATAAACATAATTTAACAGTTGTCCGCTTCGTTCACATAAACTCTCTTAGAAATGTACGAAAAACTTATAGAATATATCACGTTATCTGAAGGGAATTTTATTTAAAGATTTCTGTCAACAGTTCCTTCTTAGTGTGTTCAAATCAAAAAGTGCTTCCTTCAAACAACTTCTCTAGTAGCCCACATCAAAAGGAACTTTTTTTCTAATTTGAAAAAAAAACTGACTTATTTACCAACATCAATGTTTATCAATCAGCGTCTGAGATAAGGGCTTCATTCAGTTCGAAATATTATCGCGTAATACGATGCATTCCAAATCCAACTGTGGAAAACACAGAAAAAAATGATCCAATCCATTGAAAATAAAACGGAATATTGAAATTAAAAAGAAACAAAATTTAACTAACTCAAAAACGTGTTCTGAAGTCCAGATCTTCATGGTTCGATAAGAGTACAATTGAAATGTGCAATTAAAAAGCAAGCAAGACTTCAACTGATACTGCAAAATAAACAACGATCGAGCGAGGCACTCTATGTGCACCCAGCTGGTTACCCTGAAAGTAACTACACTTCCATGAGAATTCCTCTCGTATTTATAACTTTGATGAATCATCTCGTAAAGAACCATTTCGTAATCACACGAACACATTTTACGACGTCATTCGATCGTACTTTCATTTCACAAAACGATCAATAATTATTCCACACTTTACGAGGCATTTCCGGTGAAACCTGTTAAGAGTGGTTCTTGAGTGTGCTCACAGATTACAGCCATCTCAGCAAAATAATCACCCACTCAAGAAGCATGTGTCTTCATTAAACGTTCCATCTTCCGAAAGTGGAAATTTTTAGAAATTTTAGCCTTATGGCTCAGCGGAAAGAGCAGTTTAAGCATCAGCTTGAGGCTGTGGTGACAATGAAACCCTTTTAAATCGACGAAATAAAGTATTTCAAATGATTAAGATTCAAACAATTT